ATAAAATAAATAAAATAAAGGAAATACATAAAATAAATCTGGATACAATAAATTAAAAATTCGAATTAATTTAATTAATTTTATTCATTTTGTTTGTTTTATGTATCTCATTTATTTTTCTGGCTCCCTGGAGGAGATCCTGGGGGCCCTCATCCGCAGCCGAATTCATGTAATTAAGGTCCCAATCCGCATGGATTAAGTAATTTAATTAAAATAATTAAAATAATTCGGCGGCCCGAGCCCGGCGCGGCCTGTGCGAGGAGGCGGGAAAGATACATCAAGTAACTAAAGTAAATACAATTAATAAAATCAATAAGAACAATTTAATTAATTTATTTTTAAATTAATCTGAATTCAATAAATAAAATAAATAAAATAATAAAATTAATTTAATTAGTTTTATTTATTTAATTTATTTTATTTATTTTTCTGGCCTCCCTGGAGGAGACCCTGGGGGTCCTCATCCGCAGCCCAATTTATTTAATTAATTCAATTAATTTAATTAATCCGTATGGATTAATTGAATTATTTGAAATAATTTAATTTATTCGGCGGCCTGAGCCCGGCGCGGCTAGTTTGAGGAGGCCAGGACAAGTAATGAAATAAATAAAATAGATAAAATAAATGAAATTAAGTGAATTAATTTAAGTATTAAATTATTCTGAATATAATAAATACAGTAAATAGAATGATTAAATTAATTCAATTAATTCTATTTATTTTATTTTTTTTCTGCCCCCCCTGGAGGAAATCCGGGGGGCCCTCGTCCGCGGCCGAATTAATTTAATGAATTTAATTAATCCGTCTGGATTAATGAAATTATTCAAAATAATTGAATTAATTCGGCGGCCTAAGCCCGGCGCGGCCGGTTTGGGGAGGCCAGAAAGACACGTAAAATTACATAAAAAAAGAAAATACATGAAATTAATTGAATTATTTTAATTTTCTTAAGTGATATGAATACAATAAATAAAATATGTAAAATAATTAAATTAATCAAATCATTTTTTTTTTGAAATCATTTTATTTGTTCTATGTATTTTATTCATTTTTCTGGCCTCCCTGGAGGAGATCCCGGGGGCCCTCATCCGCAGCCGAATTCATTTACTTAATTGAACTAATCCGTATGGATTAATCAGTGTAATTGAAATAATTTAAATAATTCAGCGGCCCGAGCCCGGCGCGGCCTGTGCGAGGAGGCCAGAAAAAAACAATGAACACAATGAATCAAATAAATAAAATAAATGAAATTAATTGAATTGATTTAATTATTTAATTAATCTTGATAAAATAAATAAAAAATTAAATTAAATTCAGTTTTTTTTTATGTATTTTATTTATTTGTCTGGCCTCCCTGGAAGAGATCCCTGGGGCCTTCCTCCGCAGCCGAAGTAATGTAATTAATTTAACTAATCCGTATGGAACAATTTAATTAATTAAAATGATTGAATTAATTCGGCGGCCTGGCCCCGGCGCGGCCCGTGCGAGGAAGCGAGGGGAATGAATGAAATAATTAAGATGAATAAAATAAATGAAATAAATGAGATTAATATAATTGTTTAATAATCTGAATGCAATCAATAGAATAAATAAATTAATCAAATTAATGTCAGTAGTTTTTTTTTTGAGTTTTTTTTCTTTTTTCTATTCTATGTGTTCTATTTTTTTCCCGGCCTCCCTGGAGGGGGCCCTGGGGGTCCTCATCCGCAGCCCATTTATTCTAATTAATTTAATTAATCCGTATGAATAAATTAAATTACTTGAAATACTTAAATTAATTCGGCGGCCTGAGCCCGGCGCGGCCTGTGCGAGGGGGCCAGAGAGATAAATTAAATGAATAAAATAAAAAAAATTATTTGAATTAATTTAAGTATTTAATTAATATGAATACAATAATTAGAATAAATCAGATAATTGTATTTATTCAATCAGTTATATGTATTTTATTATTTTATTTATTTATTTCATGTATTTCTATCTATTGTCTGGCCTCCCTGGAGGAGATCCTGGCGGCCATCATCCGCAGCCGAATTAATTGTAATAATTAAATTAATTCGGCGGCCCGAGCCCGGCGCGGCCCGCGTGAGGAGGGCAGAAAAATAAATGAAATAAATGGAATACATAAGACAAATAAAATAAATAGAATTAATTGTTTTTTAAAGCATTTAAGTAACATGAATACAATAAATAAAATAAATATAACAATTAAATTCTTTCAATTAATTTTATTTATTTTTATTTATTTTATTTATTCCACGTATTTTTCTGCCCCCCCCCCCCCCAGGAAATCCTGGGGGGCTTTATTTTCCAGCCGAATCAATTTGATTAATTTAATTAATCCGTCTGGATTAATTAAATTATTCAAAATAACTAAATTAATTCGGCGGCCTGAGCCCGGCGCGGCCTCTGTGAAACGACGACTCTAGAAGTGCAGCTTGCATTTATTCTTGATTTTTCCCCCGGGCTGTGCCCGCGCAGCTTCGGGGGAAAAATGCGCGATGCCAGTTCTGCGTCGTCTTGGGGGCTTTGGGGCCGTCTGGGAGGCCTGCCGGGTGAGCGCGGAGGCGTCTTGGACCCTCTCGGGCCGTCGTCGAGGCCATCTCGGACCATCTTGGGCGAGCTCGGAGGCAATCTGGAACTCCCTTTTGGGCCATCTTGGACGCTCTAACGGGTCGCGGCCCCCCGATGCGAATCAACTAGACTTGATAAGGGAGAGCGCGCGTTGTCGTGGGCTGCCCTGGAAGTAGAGCTCTCTACGCATTCCGGATTTTTCCCCCGAGCTGTGTCCTCGCAGCTTCGGGGGGAAAATGTGCGATGCCAGTTCTGCGTCGTAGTAGGAGAGCAGGGGGGGGGAGGAAAAGTAGGACGAGGAAGAGGAGAAGGAGGAGGAGGATGAGGAGGAGAACGAAGAGGAGGAGGAGGAGGAGGAGGAATACGAGGAGCAGGAAGAGAAGGCAATAGTCAAAAGCAGAGGGGGCGTGCCCACCCCATGCGAATCAACTAGCCTTGATCAGGGACCCCCGCGCATTGTCGCGGACTGCCCTGGAAGTACAGCTTTCATGTGCTCCGGATTTTTCCCCCGGGCTGTGCCCGCGCAGCTTCAGAGGAAAAATGCGCGGTGTCAGTTCTGCGTCGTAGAAGGATGGCCGTCGGAATGCCGAAAAGAAGAAAATATACAAACCTTCCAAACACTTTTGGGTAATCAATGATTTTGGCCTCTTCGGGGCCTTCTGGAGAACCTCTTGTTGGCCTCTTGGGCCGTCTTGGAGACCTCTGGGGCCGTCTTGGAGGCTTGCTGTGTGAGCGCGGAGGCGTCTTGGATCCTCTTGGGCCGTCTTCGAGGCCATCTTGGACCATCTTGGGCGAACTTGGAGGCAATATGGAACCCTCTCTTTGGCCACCTTGGGCGCTCTAGCGGGTCGCGCGCCCCCATGCGCATCAAGTGACCTTGATCAGGGAAAACATGCATTGTCGTGGGCTGCCCTGGAAGTGCAGCTTCCTACTTATTCTGGATTTCCCCCCCGAGCTGTGTCCGCGCAGTATCGGGGGAAAAATGGGCGATGCCAGTTCTGCGTCGTAGTAGGAGAGCGGAGGGGGAGAAGGAAGAGTAGGGCGAGAAGGGGAAGGGGGAGAGGGGGGAGAACGAGGAGGGGGGCGAGGGGGAAGAGCAGGAATACGAGGAGCAGGGGGCGGAGGCAATAGTCAAAAGCAGAGGGGCCGCGGCCCCCCATGCGAATCAACTAGCCTTGATCAAGGAAAAGACGTACTGTCGTGGGCTGCTCTGGAAGTGCAGCTTTCATTTATTCGGGATTTTTCCCTTTGGCTGTGTTCGCACAGCTTCGGGGGAAAAATGCGCGGTGTTAGTTCTGCGTCGTAGTGGGATGGCCGTCGGAAGACCGAAAAGAAGAAAATGCACAAACCCTCCAAACATTTTTGGATGATCAATGATTTGGGCCTCTTCGGGGCCTCTTAGAGAACCTCTTGTTGGCCTCTTGGGCCGTCTTGGAGGCTTGTCGTGTGAGCGCGGAGGCGTCTTGGGCCCTCTTCTCGGGCCGTCGTCGAGGCCATCTTGGACCATCTTGGGCGAACTCGGAGGCAATCTGGAACCCCCTCTTGGGTCATCTTGGACGCTCTAACGGGTCGCGGTCCCCCATGCGAATCAACCAGCCTCCTGCTCCATAATGGTCTGGTCACTTCCGCCTGAGCCATCCTCGCAACTCTAGATTCAGAGACGCCCTGAGCTCAGGTATTCAGGCCGTTTCGCTTGAAGCATTCTCGCAACTCAAGGTTCCCAGCTGCTGAACTCGGAGATGCGTTGGCCCGAGATTGTCCGGCCACTTACGCCGCGATCTGTATGTAATGACTCGTATATACTGCGTGTCTCGTATACGCACCGCCACTTGCCAAACTTACAGGTTCACTTGATTGCCCATTTCTGTGATGACAGGTTTGCCAGATACCTTGTTTGCCCGATGACGGGGTTGCCATCTAACAGGTATGCATCGTACAACACGTTTGCATGATAGCATGGCTGCATGATGACATGTTTGCCAGATGGCGGGTTTGAGAAATTACAGGTTCGCTTGGTGACGCGTGTCCGTGGTGACAGGTTTGCCAGAAACATGGTTGCCCGAAAACGGGTTTGCCAGATAACAGGGTTCACCACTCATCACATTTTCCGAAATACCGACTAGCAGATGACACATGTGCCAGATAATATGTATCCCGTAATATCAGACTCGTCATAAAAACAGATTTGCCAGATAATTGATGATAGGTCTGATAGGTTGACGCGCGTGCAATTGCAGAACATGTTTAGATGGGTTGCCTTGTATATGACTGCCGTTGGCTCAATCTTGAATTCGTGAGATCTTACTGACGTGGCTCCGCCTTGCTGGCCTGTTCACTTTCCGCGTCTTGGCGTGGCTCAGCTTTGCTGGCCTGTCCATTATCAGTAACTGTAGGACCAGCTTTGCTGTCCTATCGTCTCGTTGTCATCAATGGCCGCTCCTGTCTCTCGCCAGATCCTGGCGTGTTTCAACCACTTGCTGCCCGACATCGCGGCGCGCGGTGTGCCGCTGGAGAGGCTGGGCTTCAAGCCTGGCGACTGGGGCAGCGGAGTCGCCTCGGCTGTCGCCGTCGACGCGTGGGACTTGGCCGTGCTGCTGGAATGCGGATTCAGAGCGACCGATCGCTGCGCCAAGGTCCTTTCCGCGGCGGTGGTGGCGTTGAGTCGCCCAGTTCAGTGGCCGACCATGAATGCCATCGCCCAGCCGCAGTTGGGCCGCCGAACCGTTAAGAGCTGTCCCCGGTGGGCGCAGTCGCGCGCGCGCGCAGTGCCCGCCGGGGAGGTGGCGCGAACAGTGACCGCGCTATCCAGCCAGCCCCGTCGCTCGAGCTTGGCGGTCGTCCTGAGCGACGAGAACGCTGCTGGCATCGCGTCGGCGCTGAGCTCCATCTGGATGGCGATGCAGGAGCAGATGCACGGGCACCGCGCGCAGCTCAAGACTGCGCTCCGCGACGAGGCATCAAAAGTGCGGGCGCTCAGGCAGGTGATGGAGCGAACTCTTCGCGGAGGCGCACCCGTGCAGCTGGGCTTCTCCGACTTGGAGGAGTGGTTGGCATCGAGTGACCCTTGCCGGTCGCGCTTTGCCAGAGGCGTGCGAGGCCTCGGCGACGCGCTCGGCGACCGCTGCACGTGCGGCGCGGTTTCTTTCCGCAGTCGCCAGCCTCGCTTCGGCGACGTCGCGCCCATGACAGAGTGGTTCCCCTACGCGATGCATCAGCTGAAGAACTCCGCCGCCCGGAAGTTCCTCAGCGGGGGCATCGCCTACGCCGAGCAGGGAGGTCTGATCCGAGTCAACGGCGCGCTCGATGACGACGACTCCAGCGACCTCGTGCACCTGGTGGTTCCTGTGGACGCGCCCTTGAACGTCCGCGATCGCATGGCGCTGGTGGTCGAGGAGGGCGCCCTCAAGGCCGCGGCGGAGGAGATTCTGGACATCACAGGCGGCAAGAAGGGGCCGTTGTTCGTGCGCGCAGCGCACTTCGGCGAATTCCACATGCGCGCGTCCGTGGTGGGTGAGGATCGACAAACCCTTCGCCTCCAGCGAGGCTCGTTCGCATCTGGCCGGGCGTTCTTCTGCGTGGGTGATTATGTCGGGGCAGAGTCCAATGCCATCGGAGTCTTTCTCAGGAGCTTTGGCGAGGTGCCGTCGCCGGCCTGCCGCGCGCTGCTCCCCGCCCACTGCTGCGCGGCCGAACTCGAGCCCGACGGCGCCAACCATCTGTCGGCCTCTTGGAGGCCCCCTTGGGAAGCGATTTTGCTTTTTGGAGTCGTCTTGGGGCGGTCTTGGGGCCTCTTGGAGCACCTTCGGAGCCATCTTGAGGCATCTTAGGCTATCTTGAGCCGTCTTGGAGCTCATCTTGGGCTCTCCGAGGCGCTCTTGGAGCCATCTTGGGCCATCTTGGACGCTCCAATCGGTCGCGAACCCCCCCGTCCAGGTCCAGGGGGGGGGGGGGTAGGGTGAGGGGTAAACCCTTCCCCGAAGGGGAAAAAGGGGGTTGGAAGAGGAAGCTCCCAAGACCACCCACGCCCAGAGGGCTGATGGGATTTCCACACCTTGTGGGTAGGATGAGGAAGAAAGGGAGGGCGGATGTGTAATTTAAGATGGCGCGGACTCGTCCGCCTGCGAGTTCCCGACGTGCTCGAGCGTCATGGTGCCCCGCCACCGTGCCTGGATTGTGGGTGTGAAGTCTCTTGGATGTTTGTTAAGGCTTTGCGCGGGGCCTCTCAGGATGACTTTCGGAGACAGGTGTGCGCCTTCTTCGAAGTTTTGTTTTGTTTTTTTCCTTTCTGGACCTGCTGGGGGCTGCTTGGGCGTCTCTGGGGGCCTCTTGGGCCTCTCGGTGTCTCTTGGCAGGCTCCCGTGGCCCTCTGGGGGCGGAAGATTCGGATCGAGTTGTAATTGTCCGCCAGGGCCCTGCTGCACAATTATCGTTTTAAACTCTCCGGGATCTGGTTGGGCCACCGCTCGAACCGTTCTGGGTGTCTCTGGGGTGCTGATGGGCTCTCAATCCTTTGTCGTTGGCTCAACATGTTGTGAACAGCTTCCCGCGTGGCTCAGCATTGCTGGCCTGTTCTGTTTCCAATTCCCGTGCTTGGATCAGCTTTGCTGTCCTGTTCTTTAACTTCTGTAACTATGGCCGCCGACGACCAGAGCGCTGCTGCCACCCAGGTTATGGGCCAATACTCGGCTGGGCTGGCCGAATCTATAGAGCGGGCGGCTGCGCCGCTTTCTCCAGTCGGGCGCGGCGAGCCGCCTGGCGGGCCTGGCGACGACACGTGCGCGCGCGTTATATCCGTGCTAACGAACGCACCCGGTGGCCCGCCGCATGTTGCAGCCGGTGCCGTCGGGGTTGGACCTGCCGACATGCTGTGTCTGTATCGCTGTTGCAATGCTGCTTCGGACATGCCTTCGTGGTTGCCGGGCAGACGGGCGTCTGGTTACGCAGTCGCAAGGAAAGAGTTGCCGCGGACGAGGCGCGCGCCAAGGAGCTTCGGGATCGCATCGCGCAGATGGCGCGCGACGCAGGGGGCGAGGCCACTGCTAGCAGGCTGCTGGGGACTGGGCAGGGAGCGTGCCCGGGCGTCGACGACGTGAAATATTTCTGCGGGGTCCTGGGCGGCCAGATCGTCGTCGAGCATTACGAGAACGAGGCGAACTCTGTTCAGAGCGTCTACGGCGAAGGCCCGTTGACAGCGCTTTTTCGGCTTCATAAGCAATCATCTGGGGGCGGGCACGAGGTCGACCATTGGTCGCGTCTGCAGAGTTGGGTTCCGCGAGTTCCAGAGGCCTGTGCGCATGAGAGCGAGCGCGAGGATGCGCCCGCCGATCCGATTAGCGACGAGAGCTCCACACAGCGACGGTTGAAACTTCCAGGCGCAGCTACAAGCAGTGCTGAATTCGACGAGTTCATGATGGGGGTGGAGAGAGAGCGGAGCTGGTTGGAAAATTTAACGCCAGACCCTGATCCGCCTGCTCAGAGCATACTCGTGCAGACGGAGGCGGTGAAGGCTCTCATAGAGAAGAAGTGCGCCTCTTGGGACCCGTACCTGAAGCGGATTGCCCTGGGGGCGCTAGCTATGTATCGATGCCGGCTATCCGACATCTACGTTCGAGAGTACGTCATGATGATGCACATCGTACTTGGCGGTGACTACCTCGTCGCCCACGACGGGATCATGTATTTCTGGAATGGAATGGGAATATTCGGTTCTTCGAGAAGTACGAAGGTCTCATGCCAGAGATTGCGCATGTTGCTCTGAAGGAGTACCTCTTGACATTAGAGGGGCTCTTCCGGTCGTTGACTGGCGACCTTCGGCGGGGTGACGAGGCCGTGCTGTCCGCTATCGAGGGGTCGTTGGAGAAGAGCGGGCCGGAGGCAAAGAAGGCGTTCCCCGCGTGGCGCGACAACGCCATCTTCAACAGAGGAGGCAAAGGCTTTGGCAAGGGCGGCGGCGTGGGAGGCGCGGGAGACACTGCGGTAGAATTCGATGGCCTCACGCAGACGGAAGCGCATGGACTGGGGGGAGATGCGCCCGCGCTGGCGGACGACAGCGCCGCGCGCAGCGCGCCGTGGTACATTGCGATCGCAGCGAGCGTTGCCCGAGTTGGGCGAAGCTTACAGATCCAGATGATTCAGAACAAGCTGCCGTCGTTCTATTGCGAATGGTGCGAAACTCCGCGCCCCTCCTACCGGGGCGTCGCCCGCCCCGACATCGCGTTCGTCTACGACCAGGGCGGACGCCCGATGAAGCAAATCGCAAAGGAGAGTGAACGCAGGAGCATACACATCGGCATACCGCACAACATCCAGGCTTATTTGGGCGACCCAGCGTTGGAGGCGGCCGCGAAACGATTGGATCAGTTCTACCGGCAGACATTCTGGGCAAACGCCGCCGCGCACAAAGTGTGCATGGCCGCCCTCGCCCTGGCGAAGAGAGGGTTGAACGTCGACCAGCTGTTCTTCTTCTGGGGGGCTGGCGGCGTCGGGCTTTCGCCGGCGACGGCCCATCTCGACGCCATGCTGGGGCACTCCAACCACAAGTATTTCGACCCGCAGGTGTTCTATCTGGACGAGGAGACGCGGAAGACGGTGGAGTCGCTCAAGGGCGCAATCGTTCTCACGGCACAGGAGAAGCCAGAAGGCTTGAAGAAGAGCTTCCGGGAGGACTTGTTCAAGAAGCTGGCGTCTGCCGATGGCATTTTTGGTCGACTCCCGTATCAGATTTTGACAAAGGTTATATATCTGATCGGGTGGAAACGCATGGAGCTCAACAAGCTCATCACTTTCGACGGAGTCGCTGAGGGTGCATTCCACGCAATTTACCGGAGGTCTCTTCTGATCAAGATTTTCGCTAGGTTTGTCGATGCGGAGTGCATCAGGCGCGCCGTACCGAACGCGGAGAAGTACGGCATCTTCCCGCGGGCGCCGGATCTGAAGCCATTCATGCAGTCGGTGCCCGCCATCGCCGCTGGTCTGCAACGACAGCTAGGCGTCGAGCGGAAATATGGCGAAGCCGCAGCGAGGTCGGTGATAGACGACTACTGCCTGCGCGGAGGAGATCACGGGCTCACGGAGAAACACATGCGACAGGCGTGCCTTCTTCCGGCGACGAAGCAGCCGCAGCCTGGCGGCCAGAGAAGCGCGGCTGCCCCGCCGCCCGGCGTCGACTTCGACGTCGGAGTGGGCGGATCGCAGGAGACGGAAGAGCCCATGGCGCAGTTGCGCCGCCACGTCATTAATCAGATGCTCGAGCGGAGCTTCGACGCCTTGACGTTTCCATATTTCAAGCAGATGCCTGCAGGGCAGGTTCAGGGCGTGCCGGAGAGGAAACCGACGGTGTGGAAGGCGATGAAGTCCGCCGGGTGGTCGAAGGCTGGTCTGTATGGCAAAGCGAAGGACCGACTTTTACCGAAATTGTTGACCGCCCGCAAGTTCGATGATATTGTGCCGGCGCCGAACTTGGATGAGCCAGACCGTGCTCCCGGAACAGTGGGACCGCGCGGCGCCGAGCCGCTACGCGAACGGCAACGCTTGTCGCAAGCGCAGCATCGACATCATGATTGAGGCCCTAGGTGCCGTCGCAAAGCCGCGCGGGCGGAAGAAGCGCGGAACGGAGACCGAGATGGGCGGCGACGCCCATCTGCGCGCGGTCGGCGCGCCCATCCAGGCAGGAGAGCTCGCTCTGGAAGGGTTGCTCGAGAGCATGCGCGGGCGGCCGACCGTGGTGCCCGCCGACGCACCAGCGGAGAAGAAGAGGAAAATCTCTGCGAAGAAGAGCCTCAGCGGTGGCGCCGACATGGCAGAGCGCAGCATTCCCTACACGTATAGACGCGCAGCGGCCCGTCGCTTCGCGGAGGGCCCGGCGGCGCAGGGGTGCCCGGCGCGCGTTCTACATCCGGCGTTGCAAGGCGCCGTAGACCTCGACATCCACAGCGCGGCCCTGGCCATCACTTGGCAGCTCGTGGAGAAAATGGACATGGACGACAAGGGCCTGTTCAGAGAGGAGTTAGAGTTGTTGAAGCGGCTGGCCGAGGACAGGGGCGAGGTACTGCGCGGCGAGTTGCCGGACATGGGGCCCGAAGCGGCCAAGCGCTTCGTACTCGAGACCATCGGCGGGTCCCATCCTTTTGACGTCGATGCCAAGCCCTTTGCCAAGAAGTTGCAACGCGTGAGCCGCGTACTGCGGTGGCTGGCGTGCTCGGCGTTGCCCGAGATATACGAGAGCTTCTGCCAGGACGCCGCGCAGGGCGACGGCGAGAAGACAGAGAAGTGGCCAGAGGGGCAAACGTTTTCGACTTTCTACCAGCGCGCGGAGGACTGCATCCCCCGCCAGTGGCAGGCGGGGGTGCTAGCGCACCCGGCGAAGCATGTGTCCCTGCATTTCGACGGCGTCAGGGTCAGCAGTTACGCGGTGCTCGCCAGCCATGCCACCGCGGCGGACTACGCCGCTGACGCGAGTGCTTACATCGCGAGGGAAACAGGCTTCGTAGTCAAAATCACAGAGAAGACCCACCCGACGATCGCGGAGGCACTTACGAGCTGCAAGGCGTGGCGGCCGGTGCAGGCACCAGCGGCGCCCAACGACCTACTGAAGCCAGGCAATGGCATTCTGTTGGCGTTGTGGCGATGCGGCGACGCCAGGGTGTCCACGTCCGTTGAATCTGGCGCCGGCGCCACGTCCGTGGAGAACAATGCTGCCGGCGTGGAGAAAGGGAGGACGTATGCGGAGTGTTGCCTGGGGCACGGCGTGTCAATGACGCTGCAGCTGGGTTTCGATGCTTGCGTGAAGGGCCACTATCTTCTCCACATGGATGGGGGCGGTTCGCCATCGTGCGCACTCGTCCACGTGGGGGCTGAGCTCGACAAGGCGACCTTTATTTTCATGGTAAAGCCGGCGAGGTGAGTCTGGCAGCGGTCCATGATGCCGTCCTCGCCGGGCGAGACTCGAGGCTAGCAGTCACGTTTCACGTTGATTTATCTCCGGCGGCGCAGGCGGCCGCCGAAGGCAGCGGCGACGCCAAGCGCTTGGAAGCGCTCTTGAATATGATGGCGCGAGGCCCGGGGCGACGCATTCTGTTTCACAGCCCCTCGCTCCGCCGGGGCCCTCGGGGCAACGGGCCCCGTCGCATTGACCATTGCTTCGCCGATCCGCGCAGCTGGCGCCCTGGCTTACATCCAGTAGGGGAATGAAACGTCAAGCAATATTCGCATCCATTCATCGCCATGCTAGATATGGACTCATGCGTTTTCAGAATAGACTTGGAAAAAAAAACCAATTTACATTGATGTTATGCGCAGCTGTCTTCACAGGTGTATCTGCGTGCCGTCTCGGGCGCCGTTCGCCGCGTCTGCTCAAGTCACATTTGGTGCGTGGGTCGGCATTGCCGCCCTGTGCTCTCTTCGCTTCATATATGCCCGTATCCCCCCGTGGGTCGGCCTTGCCGCCCTGTCACCTCAACGCCCTGCCGCCCGATACCCGGCATGTGCGAGGCGCCCGCGGTTGTCGAAGACGCCGATCCGCGCGGAAGGCGACTGCGATGTGTTTCTGGAGTCAAACGGTCCATTGAGTATGTATCCGTCCAGCTTCTGAGCAGCATTGGAGAGCTGGGAGATGCTGAGAGGCCCGCGACCCCAGACCCCTACCTGCCTGGCGGCAGCAAGCGGCAGTGGGAGGCCAAGGTTGCTGCTTGGCGCAATGAGATGTCCCGACTTCTTGACGAGGTGCCGGTTGATGCGACGGAATTGGCGGCTGCCGATGAGCTCGGCGTCTGGATAGAGCCTTCGCCGCCCGCCGTGCGCGGCTGTCCCGCGCTCCTGCAAGCTGGAAGCAGCATCCTGCTCGCCTACGGCATCCTGGCGCGGGACTTCCGCGGCTTCATCGATTATTGCGCGCGATTTCCTGTGCCTGGGGATGCGGAGCGTCGCTACGCCGACGTCGCTGAGCATTCGGCTTCTCATTGACCGCCGTGCGCCCGCAAGCTGCGCGGCAGGGCGCTTGCTCACTCTTGCCCGGGAAGTATTTCTGTCATATGAGGGGCCACTGCTGCGCTGCAGCTGTTCTCCCCGGGGCATCTTCGGCGATCGTGTGGAGAGGATTCAGCCGGCACGTTCTGCCGACGGCGCAGTGGGTCCGCCGCGTCGAGGAAGTCGAGGGCGCGTTGTTGCACATCACTGACAGCAGTGAATGCACACTCGACGTCGATTTGACAACTGGGCGGAGATCGCGGGGGACCGCGGCCGATGGGCGCGTCATGGGCGCCGACGACGATCCGCTGGGAGGCATGGTGCATGGGGGCGAGGGATCCAATGCATGTCTTAGCTCTGCTCTGAATGCGTTGGGGGCACAGGTGCCGACCGGCGTGCAGGGCCCATTCCGCGCGGTCGAGCACGGGAACCAATGGCTGTCACATCTCGGCCTCGCCCTGATCCGGCAGCCTCGGGGCCCGACCGGCCCAGGGCGTTACGCCAGGTGGGGGCCGCCGCGGCGCCCTGGGCCGCGCGGCGCGAAGCGCGTCGGCCACTTCACAGCCGTTATACTGCGGCCAGGCGGCGCCACTGTGATAGACCGCCGAACATGCCTGCCAGCGACTCGCGAGTGGCGAGCGTGGAGCGACATTCCGGACGTGGAGGGGCACAAGTGGTTCTTGTTGGTGGAGCTCGGCGCGCGGGGGCCAGGGCCCGAGGGCGGCCGCCCTCTTCCATGGGGCACGACTTCGGATATGATCGAAACTCACCAGCTGGACGCGCTCATCCGTCGGCGCGCGGCTCGCGAACGAGCGGCCCCCTATGGGCGGGCTTTGTCGTTGGGCTCGCTCGCGCCGCAGGAGGCGGCCCGAGTATCAGCACACCGAGAGGAGGCAATGCGGCGCAGATCTTCGCGTCTGTTTTGCCCGTTGCCGCCAGTGGGGTGGCCTGGCACTCAGGTGCCGCCAGTCCCGTGCGAGTTCGCACTCGAGCTGCCGCGTCTTCCGAAGATTCGCTTACTCGAGCGGCTCAACGCTCACCCTCGGGACTCTCAGTTGCACTTCGTCGAGGAGTCGCACTCGTGCTGCATTCGCGGCGCGCGAACGCATGGGTCAGTCACGGGGTTGATACACGAGTACTCGAGTGGTTTCGACGCTTGTGCAGTGATTGAGAAGATGCGGAACGGGCGGAACTGGCCGCGACCGGATTATTTGCGCCGCCCTTGCCCGGAAGACGCGGTCGTGGCGCTGCGGGCCGCGCCGGAGGCTGCTCGCCTGCACGAGTTACTTGTGTCGCACGGTGCCGGCGACGCCGAGATCTGCGCCGAGGTGAAGGCCACTGCGAGAGCGGCTCCCCGCCTGGCATGCCTGATGGAGAGTTTATCCCTCTCGGATCCGGAGATCGTGGAGAAATGGCGCCTGAACAAGGAAGAGGCGGCTAGGCGGGGCACCTGGATGCACTGGACGTTCGAGGCCCACCTCAGCCGCGTTCCGGTACCCCACGACGCCGTGGAGTTCCAGTTATTCCTGAAATACTTGGGCGCGCTGAGAGGTCTGACGGCTTTCCGCGCCGAGTGGGCCATATTCGCCGAGCACGAGGGGCTTGCTGGGTCAATCGATTTCGTGGCTCGAGACTCCGCGGGCAGCTTGTGCATATACGATTGGAAGCGGGCGAAGAATTTACGTTCAAAGTACACGAACCCGTGGCAGAATATGAAGTTTCCATTGAGCCGATGGCCAGACTGCCAGGGAAACCATTACCGGGTGCAGCTCAACATTTACAGGTGGATGCTGGAACGTTACTACGGCGCCCGCGTGGCTGCGATGTATGTGGTCTGCCTGCATCCGGACAACGGCGACCAGCCATTCGTGGACGACGTGTCGGTGATCCCAGAGATCGAGGAGCTCATGGCCATTCAACGCACGAGGCCCCGAGAGTTGCGAGCCATGGCATCGGAAGACGCCAGCGAGATGGACCCTCTGGGCGGCTGGCCGCGGCCAGTCGTAGCGGCGCGCTTGCCATAATGCGTGCGCACCGCGGCCAATTTCGATCGTGCGTTTCGCCGGCCCGCAGTGGAGGTCGCGCCCTGGCGAGGCCGTTGCGATTGCGCGCCGCCTTCATGAGGTGCCGTTGCACTGGCGCTCAAGCTCTGCGGAAGTAGTGGTGCGATAACGCAAGATAGAAAACAGTATTTGGTTGTTCGGAAAAATGCGTTTGCCAGGTAACAGTTCCGCGAGGTAACAGGTTTTCCAGATAATGCGAATTTCAGCAGAGGCTTGTGTCACAAGTAGTACCAGCACGGGTATATGCTGCAGTCGTCGTCGCAGTAGTACTCAGCACAGAGCAAACCGTAGCTGTTTTTCTCTCAAGGACCATCGCTTTGGCGTGGCTCGGCTTTGCCGGCCTGTTATTTAACTATCTGCATCGCTAGCCCTTGCCGGCCTGCTGCGCTGCCTCGTGGAGGATCGGCATTGCTGTCCTGTGAGTTGTCCTGTGCTTTGGCGCAATGGCCACCGACGCGCAGCGCGCTGCCGGCTCCCCGTTTCTGAGCTCGCAGTCCCCTGAGCTGAGCGACCCCGCGCCGCGCGGGAGGCCTCGCCAGCGGCGCGCTTACTCTGGCGCCCGCTCGCTGACGCCGGCGCGCAAGAAGCATCGACTGTCCTCGCGGGCTGCGCGCGCGGCTGCAGCGCGAACCCCTTCATCGTCTCCGGAGAGAGACGACGCCGCTGACATCGAGGTTTTCGCGCTGATGGTATCAAGGGTCTCAGATGAAATATTAAATTCTATTATGTCATGCTTCCCTGCCGTGCGGAGACGGACATTAGCGCGTCGTTTCGCACGGGATCAACATATTCGCCAAGACAGAACGTTTATACTCGTGAGGCCGGTCAGTTCGAGCAGGCCCAGGGCCTCGCGTGGCCCGCGCGGCGCCGGAGTGCCCGGAGTCCTTGCTGTTGCGCCTCGCTGGTTTCAGCCTGCCAACGCAGAACTTGCCTCGGCGACAGCCCCGAGCCCAGTTCACGATCGCAGTTTCATTTGCGGGTTGGATGACGGCAACGTCGACGGCATCGGCCACTATCTGGAGGGGTGCGTGGCCACGGTGAGATCATTTCCGTTCCCAGAAGTTACCCATTTGCGCGCGACGACCTCCGCGTGGGCCATGTTGGCGCAGCGATTGGACCTCGCGGCGACGTATTCGCGTTCGCGCGGTGCAGCGGGGTCTGCGTCGCCTGGGAAGACACCCTGAACATAGATTTCGCTTCCGATATGCTCAGACTGCACAGGTGACAAGCGGTTTGAAAACAGGGGCGTGAGCCGACTCGCGCCCGCGATTGGACTCGGGGAGACGCGGCGGCGCTGGCGCCATTGCGCGGGCCCCCGTCGAGCTCGGGCCGCGATTTTCGATCGCCACTGTGCGCCAACAAAAGCGCAACACCTCCATCATATCTAGATTCTCTTCCCGCCTTCCCATGTGTCAAACGTGGCGTGGGGCTTTCACGTCGCTCGATATCCCCACTAGTCGAGCTCTTACACGTTCGACGTCAGTGCCACTGATGGATCGTTGCTTATCTCTCCTCATCGCTCTCCGGCTCAAGACACGCGTTTCCCGTGGGTCGGCTTTGCCGCCCTGTGCTTTCTTTGTCGTACCACCTGTGGGTCGGCTTTGCCGCCCTGTTTTTTGTTCTACCACCTCCCCGCACTATCTCACATGCGCGGCGCGTTCGCTCAGCAGGAGCAGGACGCTTCAAGGCTCGCGCCGGCGCCGACTCGGAGACGAATCAGAGGCAAGAGCGCGGCGGACGACGTCGGCGAGAGCTGGGTGTGCCTCGCGGCCGAGCAGCGCGAGCCCCACGAGCTCGCGGACGTGGGCTCGGCGGAGACACCTGAATCCCCGAGCGGCGATGAGGGTGAGACAGCGGTGCGGACAGAGTTGTTCAACTGCCTGGAAAAGGAAGTCAAGAGCTATTCTGCCGGGGTGAAGCTCCTGCGCCCCAAGCGGGACAGCGAGGGCGTGCAGTTGAAATTTGCTTGCGGTTTATGTCCGTTCCGGTCGTTCTCGACGCAGGTACTCCTGGCCGCGCGCGTCTCGAAGTACCACCTCAGAAAGACGCGCTTCGTGGCCTCTGGCACGAAGCAGTTCAATGTCGTGTGCGCGTTGTTCGACAACGACCGGCTTCTGCGAGCTCCAACGGGGAACCTTCTGAGGCGGTCTGCAGCGATCCTGCGCGAGACAGTATCTCCTGCCGTTCATCGCGGACAGAACGCCATTGACAAGGACATTGTCCTAGTTCTCGACGACGACGGGCCCTCGTATCAGAACAAGGCAGCAGTGGGGCATAATCTCGCGTGCAGACGAGTGGGGTACACGTACTATGCCCGTGGCTTCGCCGATATCCTGTTGCAGGAGTCCTTGCGCCACCATGGGCGCGTGCGCCCGGCGATGCTGCGGGCGTGCGCTCGCGTCGCCGAGCAGGGCTCCGAGTTGAGCAGCATGCTGCCGACCGCCGAGGAGCACTGGCTAAAACTTATGGAAGACGTGTTCAACTGCGCGCACGTAGAGAGGCGCAGCGCTGCGTTGATGGAAGGATGCCACCGACACAAGGAATTCCTCCACATCTCCATGGACGCCACTATCCGCATTCTGCGCAATGTCAAGGGCCAGGCAGACTATCGGTCTGCACAAGCAGTGCGCGACGCTGCGCCCGTGCCAGACGTGGACGCCAAGCGCCGCGTTCTGACTCTCGCGGGCCGGACGGGCGCGGCGCTCGGCGTTTTCCTGACGAAGGACGAGGGGGCTGATGAAATAGCTGGAGCCCTTGCAGCTCGTTGGTCGGCGGCGCGCAGATCGCAGACGGCGTCCGTCGCCAGTGACCAGCCGAGCAGCGCGCTATTCCGCGCCTTGCGAGGTTCATGTTTTCCCCATTTATCGGTCTTGGGCCTCGACCCGGTTCATCTGCCCATCACTTACGAGGAGACGCACTGGAGGAAAAAGACAGTGGGATCGCGACTATTGCGGATACTAATGGCCAAGTTTACGAAGTTGGGTTGCGCGCTACCCGCGCACTACTGGGGGGCGCCGTTCGACGGGGCGAACGCCCCGAACCTGCGGCCAATAGAGGGGCGCGCGCGAGCACAGATACTCGATCATTCACTGGTGAAGTCGCGAGCTCAATACGTTATCGACAACGTGAACGCCGAGCTGCCATGGAAAACGACGCGCGAGTTCATCGAAGCTATCGCCGCGCTGAGCGCATTGGTTCCAGAAGAGCTTGCTCGCCGCACTCACGTGAATAACGTTCAACTCAAGAGATTGCTTTACAATGCGACCGCCCCAGCCCGTATGCAATGGTTCTTCAATAATCAGCGATTCAGGCATTCCTTGCCGGCGGCGCGCTCAGTCCTGTTGGGGTCTGGCACGTCCGTCAACGAATCTTTCAACCACGAGATCAACGCGTGGTTTCGCAACCAGGGAGACATCTACGCTTCGACGGCGGAGCTGCAACTTAGGATTGGCTTCTTGGGCAAGCTGCAAGCCCACAGTTGCGCGCTGTATTCGCCGACGCTGCGGCAGCTGCGACAGGCCAACGTGCTATCGCGAAGCATTATGGCATGGGCTTTCCCCGTGGATGATTGGAAGAGTTAATGTGCGCTCCTGGGGCAGCGCGGCGCCGACGTCCTGGCGCCCGCGCGGCTTCCGCTCCGCGAAGCCCGACAGAGAGTCGCGCGGCTGATTGCCGACCGCGCCGCGTGCGCTCGGGGAAAGCCAGCGGCGCGCGAGGCCGCGACTGCGAGGCGGCGCGGTGCTCAGAAGAAGCCCGCTGCAAGGGCGCTCTTGGGCAGTCTGCGCGATCGCAGAGTGCCTAGGATCAAGAGAACAGCTTTCACTTTGAAGCGCAAGCCCGCGTCGCGCGGCGCTGCTGGCGAAGCTCCCGCCGCGCGCGCTCGCCAGCGGTAGCTGATGCCGATGTTTATCTCTTCGTCGGCGTTCAAAGTTTCCATTCCGTGCCCTTCCTCTCCCTATGCGCACTTTCTCTGAGTCGGTCTCGGGGCCATGTCTTCGGTAGAGCCTCAAGACCTTGCATCCATGGGCGCCTGATCATAGACGTCGTCACGACAGTGACTTCTTAGTCGGTTGATTTTTCTCCAGCGCTGCTCCCGCGCCACTCCGGGGGAAAAATGCACGGCGCGAGCCCTACTGTCTCGACGCCTGGGTCGTCGTAGTAGGAGGAAGCGAGGAGACCACAACGACATTTGCCACAACGACGGTGCAAGTGATAATGAGGATGGTGATGATGATGGTCATGCTGGTTACGATGATGACGATGCTGATGATGATGGCGATGAAGATGCGTATGAGGATCAGAAAAAGGATGAGGATGAAGGAGAGCAGGGGGATGATGAGGAGGATGAGGGAGGGTGGGGAGAGGGAATCGGAAAGTCGGCGAAGGCCATGATGAGGAGAAAGGGAAGTTGAACGATATAACGAAAGGGTGAGGACAATTACGAGGATGAATCATGCTAAAAAGATTACAAAACATAGCATAACAGGAGGGATAAGGGTAGTGATGGAGTGAAAATACGGAAAGAGAGGGAACGCACATTATACCACAATCGTCCCTTTACATATATATATATATATATATATATATATATAAATATGTATATATATATATATATATATACGCATATAACCATTCAAATAAATCAGAAAAATGCCTGGTGGGTTTGCGGGGGCTCCCAGTCCCCGGAGCCCTCAGAGAACCCCGAAGCGGCTCCGGAGAACCCCCGGAAGGGCCCAAAACGGCACTGGAACTCCCCAGAAAAACCCCGAGACGGCCCATGGAGGCCCCGAGACGACCCAAAACGGTTTTCAGGCGGCCAACGATGTTTTCCAGACAGCTCCAGGAGCCCCAAAGACGCCCCCGAACGGCTCCAGGCGGGTCCAAGGGGTCCCCCGAAAAGGGCTCCATCAAGCAAAAGTCGTCACATTTCCTTTGGAAAATCGACATTTTCAGCAGATTCGGCTCATTGGTCTTCGAAGCGTCCACAACGGCCCCAGAGGCCTCCAAGATCGCCCAAGACGGCCCCTAAGAGGGCCCAAAGATGGCTCCAGACGGGCCCAGGACGGCCCAAGAGGCGCCCAAGACGACTCAAGAGGACCCCACGAGAGGCCCAAGAGGGGCCCAGGACAGCCCCGAGGCGGCCCATGGAGGCCCCGAGACGACCTCAGGCGGCCCAAGATGCTCTCCAGACGGCCCCATGAGCCCCAAAGACGCCCCCGGACGATTCCAGGCGAGTCCAAGGGGTCCCCCGAAAGGGTTCCTTCAAGCGAAAGTCGTCGCATTTCCTTTGGAAAATTTGCATTTTCAGCAGGTTCGGCTCATTGATCTTCGAAGCGTCCACAACGGCCCCAGAGGCCTCCAAGATCGCCCAAGACGGCCCCCAAGAGGGCCCAAAGATGGCTCCAGACGGGCCCAGGACGACCCAAGAGGCGCCTAAGACGACCCAAGAGGACCCCACGAGAGGCCCATGAGGGGCTCAGGACAGCCCACGATGGCCCCAAGACGGCCCGACAGGTCCGCCGCGATCCCGGCGCGAATCTTCCAACGTTGCTCGGGCCTGGACTCCTGAATTTCTGTCTCTTGCGAAGCTCGAAGACTTCGGCCCCCGTTTCGATGCATTGGGCGCCTTCGGTGGGGGAACAGCACTAGAGCAAGCTTCAAGGGATCTACGGCAGTAGCTGGCAGCGTCGCACCACCCAGCGCGCGCCACCATGCTTCGATTCGCCCAACTTCGTGGATTTAATCCACGGGTCCACACTTATATCTATATATATATATATATATATCTCTATATATATATATGTATCCGTAAGTGCTTCGCTTCATGCCGCCGGCCCCCTGTCTCGGATAATGGAAGATGCAAAAGCTAAATCATGAGGTCTGGGCGCCGCCGTGAAGCATGATCGGGACCTGTTTTTTTTTTCGAACCTGACCCTACGGATCTGCGTCACGGGTGCCACCGAATTTCAGAAATGTGGCACATCCTTTGTGTTGTTGCACCCTGACCCCGCCGATCTGCGTGAGGGGTGCCACCGAATTTCAGAAATGTTGCAAATCCTTTTTGTTTTTGGACCATGACCCCGCTGATGTGCGTGAGGGATGCCACCGAATTTCAGAAATGTGGCACATCCCCTGTGTTTTTGGACCCTGACCCTGCCGATCTGTGTGAGGGGTGCCACCGAATGTCAGACATGTGGCAAATCCCATGTGTTTTTGCTCCCTGACCCTGCCGATCTGCGTGAGGGGTGCCACCGAATTTCAGAAATGTTGCAATTCCTTTTTGTTTTTGGACCCTGACCCCGCCGATCTGCGTGAAGGGTGCCACTGAATTTCAGACATGCGGAAAATCCTTTGTGTTTTTGCACCTTGACCCCGCCGATCCGCCGAATGTCAGAAATGTTGCAAATCCCATTTGTTTTTGGACCCTGACCCCGCCGATGTGCGTGAGGGGTGCCACCGAATGTCAGAAATGTGGCACATCCTTTGTGTTTTTGCACCCTGACCCCGCCGATGCGCGTGAGGGGTGCCACCGAATGTCAGACATGTGGCAAATCCTTTGTGTTTTTGCACCCTGACCCCGCCGATCTGCGTTAGGGGTGTCAATTTTTACCCACCCCAGCAATTCAGACAACACGTTCAGCGCGTGCTAATGGGGGGAGACTTCGTTTTGGGCCTCCCCCCCTCGCGCGGTCCATCAACAAGGAACAGTAAGCAGCAAGAAACAGAATTGTAACAGTGGAAACTGGAAGCTGCAACTGGCACAGGAAACTGCGAACCTTCGGCCTACAGCCTGGTGGCCCCACAAGGGGGCCGGCGGATATGTATATATATATATATGACAATTATATTGTAGTATATTACTTTTATATATTATATATATATATTATATATTATATAATATTTATTTTATATCACATATTATTCATTATATATTCTATATTATATATTATACATTTTTGTATTATATATTATATATTCTATAGTATATATTATATAGCATATAATATATATCATATAATATGTCATATAGATTATATATATATATATATTTTATATATATATATACAATATATATATGTATACTATATATGATATATCCGCCGGCCCCCTTGCTGGTGCTGGTCTCGGCGAACGTCCAGACTCTGAAGCCGCACCAGGAGGAGAGGAACTATTCCGCTCCTCCTGGTGCGGGGGGTCCAGATCGACTCCTTGACAAGGTCGAGGCGCTGGGGGTGCAGATCGACTCCCACGGCTACGACATCGTGGACGTCCAGGAGGGCCGTTCGAAGAGCGAGGGCGTCTTCAACGGCTTGCACTACCGTCGGTATGCGGCGGCCGCCACCGACGATGGCGCCCTCGGCGTTCAGCTGTGGATTCATCGACGCGTCCGCGGCCATGTTCTACACTGGAGGGCCCTTACACCTCGACTGTTGTTCGGCGCCCTTCGGCTCAACAACGGCGCGGTGTTGGTGTTGATCGTCGCGCACGCCCCGTACTCCCTCGCCGATGAGGCCCTCGCCGATGAGGCCACGCGTAGCACCTCGCACGGGCTGAAGGAGCGCTACGCCCGAGCCTCCTTGCGCGTGGCCGTCGACGCCAACGGACGCCTTGGTTCTGTGCTGTCCCGCCACATCGGCCACGAGGACGTCGCCCGCGAGGATGAGAACGGAGCGCGCCTGCGTCTGCACCTCGACGAGTTTGACCTGGCCGCCGTGAACACCTTCTGGCCGAGTGGCCCGACATGGTGTTCGACGCACGGCAAGTGGCACCGCATTGACTACGTGCTCAGCGACTCGCCTGAGCTGGTCACTGCCTGCCGCGTGGACCTTGACGTGGACCTGACGTTCAACGCGTACGAAGACCACCATCCCGTCGTTATGCAGGAGCGCGTCCGTGCTGCCCCGCAGAATCGACGCCTTCAGGCCCCCCGGCCCTTCAGCGTGAACAACGCGAAGCTGAGCGACCCTGAAGCGTGCGAGACCTTCAGCAGCTGGCGTGGGCCTTCAACGCCCCGAGGGGGCACGGGCCGATCCAGGCCAAAATTTCCGGGGCCCCCCGGGAGCTCTGGGCAGCGCCGCGCCTCCGGCGGCTTGGGGCGCGGGCGCTGGGGCACAGGCCGATCCAGGCCAAAATTTCCGAAGTCTCCCGGGGGCGCATTCCGGCGGCCTGGCGACTCGCCTCGGAAGCCGTGGATTTCGCCAGGCACCTGGAGCATCATCCGCCTGATCGCTCCCTGCCGTCGGCACATGCACTCCGCCCGCCTGGCCGCCCAGCCACTCCGCCTCCGCGGGGCCTTTCGCGTCTGGCAAGTGGCCGCGATGCGCAGCCAGCGGCGGGGGCGCCTCCCACGTGACGGGTGGTTCGAGGTGGGCGAAGCCGTGGACTGCGTGCGGGCGAGCCTGGCCACCATGCGTCAGTGCGCCTCCTGGTTCATCACGATGCGCCAGCTGCAGCGGATGGCGGCTCCGAGCCTGGCCGAGGACCGCAAGCAGTTCCTCGACTCTCTGGCGCTGAAAGCGCAGGCGGCGTTCGAGCAGAGCGATTTCCGTTCGGCGTGCGGCGCGGCTCGGGCTCTCGGCGCCCATGCGAGTGTTAGGCCCGGCGCCGTCTGGGGCGCCGACGGCCAGCTCACCACCGGCGCCGACGCCGCGCCCCAGCGCTGGGAGGAGCATTACCAGGGCGTCTACAGCGGCGTCGAGATGCCACGCGACGCCTCCGCGCACCCGCCGGTGCCCCAGCCTCCCGAGGTGGACCTCGACGTGGGCCCCGCCGCCACCGAGGTCGCTTTCGGCCTCTTGGGCCGCAACAAGGGCGTGGGCCCCGACTGCGTCGCCGGCGAGGTGCTGCGTGCTGGCGGCGGCGCCGTCACGTCCGAGTACGGCGAGCTGAACATGGCTGTCGCCGCGCTCGAGTGGCAAGGCGGCGACATCGTCAGTGCCTGGAAGCGGAAGGGCGACATCCGCTCGTGCGACGCGTCTCGGGGGCTGCTGCTCAGCGACCACGCTGCCAAGGGCCTGGCTGGCATGGCCAAGCAGTCCGTCGAGCCCAGCTACGAGCAGAACATGCCGCAGGACCAGTACGGCGCCGTGCGGCGCCGAGGCGCCGACTTCGCCACGCACATCATGGTCACCGTCGCCGCCTGGGCGAAGGCCATGAACTGGTCCATCTTCATCCTGTTCCTGGACCTCGTGAAAGCCTTCGATCGCGTCGTCCGCCAGCTGGTCGTGGGATGGGGCGAGGCGCCTGCTGGCGAGAGGCTCGCCTACCTCCGGTCGCTCGGCGTTGCCGAGTCTGCAGCTGCCTGGATCATCGAGTACTTGGAAGAGCGTGGGCCGCTGCTGGAGCAGTGGCAGGTCCCGAAGACCTCTGCCATGCTCCTCCGCGCCCTCCACGAGGGCGCCTGGTTCGCGTGTCGGGCGGAGAGCGGCGCTTCGAATCCAGGACGGGCGGGCGAGAGGGATGCAAGGTCAGCTCCCTCATCTTCAACGCCGCGTGCTCCGTCCCCCTCGACATCCTCCAGTGGCGGCTCAAGCAGGCGGGCATTACCCTGAAGCTCCGCGTGCCAAGCGGGGCGTGCTGGCTGCCACCCGACGACGCCAACGACGATTTTCAGCGCGTGCTCGACGTCACCTTCGTCGATGACGAGTGCGTCGCGCTGACCGCGCCGTCCTGCGCAGACCCTCCGAGCCGCCGTGGACATCCTGATGGAGACGCTGTTGGGTGTCTTCGACAAGTGCCGCCTGCAGCTGAGCTGGGAAGCCGGCAAGACTGAGGCCGTGGTCAAGTTCCGGGGCCATGGCGCGGTCGTTGCCCGCGAAGCCGCCCGCCTCCCCGACGGCCAGTTGGGGATGCCGCTCGCGAAGGTCGGACACCAGGGCGTCCTCCGCTTCGTTCGCGAGTACAAGCACCTTGGCTCGTACATCGACCACGAGGGCATGGCGGCCGCCAACATTTCCGCCCGCGCCCGCAACGCCCTGGCTGCGCACGCTCCTCTGGCGTGCAAGTTCTTCGGCTCGAGTTTGGTGGGCCAGACGCATCGCCGGCTGTTCTTCCGGGCGCTCGTGGTGTCGAGGGTGCTGCGCAACATGAGCATTTTCGTGCTCTCCCCTCGAGCTGTTCGGAAGCTGAATGGAGTATGGATGCGAGGCCTGCGTCGCATCGCTGGCCAGATGCGTTTCTCGAGCGATGTGGAGGCATCTGATCTCAGCGTCCGCCTCTCCCTCGCCATGCCGTCGATTGACTGCCTCTTGACCGTAGCTCGACTGGAATACCTTGGCCGCGTTGAGCGAGAGCGCCCCCGTTCCTTAATCGCTGCTTTGCACGCTCGCCCGCGCGGCCAGCCTACGCCATGGGCGGCGGCCGTGCGGCGCGACGTCACCATGCTCCAGACCCCAGGTTTTCTCTCCGACCTCCCTGACCTCGACGCTGGGGCGGAGGAGTGGGTCGCCAGGATGGCCCACAAGCCAGCTTGGAAGCGAGAAGTAGACCGAGTCTTTTTTCCGGAGTCGTCGTGCGACCGCGCCCCCGCCTCCGCTGAGGGAGCGGCGTCTCGAGCTCTGTCCTTTCACTGTCCGTCTTGCCCGTGCGCCTTTGCCTCGCAGAGAGCGCTGGACTCGCACGCGCGCGCGAAGCACGGCATCCGATCTCCCTGCAGGGAGCGGGTGCGATCGTCTGCCTGCCCGTGTTGCTGCGTCGACTTTCGCACAAGAGTGCGGCTGCTCAACCACCTCGGCGACAAACGTCGGCCGAGGTATGGGGAATTCGCATTGAAGCACTGCCCTCGCTTGCCCCCCGCCACCGTGGCCGAGCTAGACGCCCAGGACACAGCTGAGAGGAGGTCTGCACAGCGTGCAGGCCGCACGCAGGTGCTAGCCGCTGAGCCCGCCCTCCGCGCTGACGGAAGACCCGTCGGCGCGCCGCCGAGCTAAGCTGCTGTGCCGTGGCGTGTAAAGTCGAATTTGAGTCTGCCCATCCGGTCGGTACCCCCTCCAGCGACCCCCCAGAGCGCCCAAAGCACGAAACCGCGGTAAACACTGCCGTCCTCCTTTTCATTTTCCGTCTGCTCTCCTTCTCCTTTCCTCCTTCTCCTCCTCTTCCGCTTTCGCAATTTCCCTCATCCGTATCCGTCTTCTGCGTTTCCCCCCCTTCCCCATTCTCTTTCCCCCTCGTGGCAAAGCAAAGAAACAAGCAATCGCAGAGTTAGGCGCCCTCGGTGCCACGCATGTATATATATATATATATATATATATGTATATATATATATATATATATATATATATATATATATTATATATTTATATATATATCATATCGTATCATATCAAATCATACCATATGTGTATATAGGTGTATGTGAGTGTGTGTGTCTGGGTAAGGCTGCAGCGAGCCCAACACCTTGCCCCTGGCTCCTTCATGGGGGTGCCGGCCCTACTTTCGCGTCCGACATCGTTTTTCATTGCGGCCCAAGAGAGCCCCAAGAACGCTCAAGAGTCCCCCAAGACGGCCCAAGAGGCACTCAAAATTGCCTTGGCTGTTTCCAAGACGCTCAAGGGAGGCCCAAGAGGGGCCCGAGAGCGCCCGAGAGGACCCGAGACGGCCCACGGCCGCTCTGAGACAGCCCAATACGGCTTCAAGACATCTCACAAGAGGCCAAACAAATCGCACCAAGACGGGCCAAGAGGCCATACAAATTGCCCCAAGACGGTTCGCAGGCCCAGAAAAGGGGCCCTAGACGGCCCAAGAGGGTCACCAGACGTCCCAAGAGGCCCCAAGACTGCCCACGAGGGCCCCAGCACTGCCAGAGAGAGCCCCAAGAGACTCCCAAGAGAGGCCCAGCAAGACGGCCCAGAAGGACCCCTGGACGGCCCAAGAGAGCCCACACCAACGCAACTCCGGCAGTAGCCAGACCCCCCAGGAGGCATCCAATCATCCAATGCTCTCTTCGAGGCGTGGGAGACCTTCAGGAAAGCTGCATGGAGACTCAGAGTTCCCACCCCTACACCAGGGCCGTAAGCTCTCCGAGACGGACCCTGCAGGCTCTCACGACGCCCCCACGAGCGGCACACCCAACTTGCCACGATTGGACCCAAGACGGTTTGAAGTGTGCCCCCAGAGGGCCCCAGGCCGATACAAATCCGACACAACTCCCACAGTACATTGTGTTCGATGTGTGTCGTCTTCGTGTTTGTGTTGTGCCCATCGTTGGCTCAGGCGTTCCTGGTGCTACCTTGCGGGCACCCCCTGGAGGCGTCCGATGCTCTCCTCGGAACCTGGGAGGGCTTGCGGGAAGCGCCTAGGAGCCTAGGAAAATGCCGAGGAGCGTCAGAGCAGCCACCCCCGGGCTCCCCAAGATGAGCAGATTGGCCCCAATACGGTTTCAAGTGCGCCCCCTGAGGGCCCCAAATCGACACAACTCCAGTACGAGACCAACACAACTCCGCCCCGAGGGGGAGGAGGAGGATGAGGTGGAGGATCGAGGGTTGACGTTCGAGGATCCAGGTTGAGGATCCAGGTTTTCGGGTTTCTTGATGTTTCTGGATCCCATATCAGATAGTGACGGATCCCAGATCAGTTCCGTTGGTTACGCATCACCACGCAGCAACGCGCGTAATTAACGCACTCACCAGCGTGGGCAAGCCCGCTTGGCTTCTTATCCCGGTTGATGTTTACGATCTCGCAATGGACTCCCCGACGTCCCAGTCGTCCCAGACGTCACACTTGATGATGCTAGACTGACTGGCACACTAGAACCTAAGCGCGCGAAGCGCGCGCGTGGTTCGAGTATATTCATGTGTGGATATATATATATATATATATATATATATATATATCGGAGGTGAGGGGGTGAGTTCGAAGTGGAACGGAGAGTCCCCCTACCGGGAAATCGATTTCGGTTTCGTGTTCGTGCGTGCCGTGCGTGCGGGCGAGGCGAAGCTGCGTGGGCGGGCGAGAGGAAAATCTCCTGTGGCTGAGGCGCGGCCGGACCAAATGACTCCCTTCCGGGGGCCGGTGCCGCGCGGTGTCCCGCCGGTGACCCGCCTCCGGCTGAGGCGCGACCGGACCAAATGACTTCCTTCCGGCGTCCAGTGCCGCGCCGTGTCCCGCCGATGTCCCGCTGGTGTCCCATCGGTGTCCCGATGATGATGATGATGATGATGATTATGATGATGATGATGATGATGATGATGATGATGATGATTGTGATGGTGATGGTGATGGTGATGGTGATGGTGATGGTGATGGTGATGGTGATGGTGATGGTGATGATGATGATGATGGTGGTGGTGATGATGATGATGGTGATGGTGATGGTGATGGTGATGGTGATGGTGATGGTGATGGTGATGGTGATGATGTTGCTGATGATGATGATGCTGTTGATGATGATGGTGATGGTGGTGATGATGGTGTCCCGATGATGATGATGACGATGTTGATAATGATGATGGTGATGATGATGATGATGATTGCTATGGTGCTGATGATGATGGTGTCCGGATGATGATGATCCTGATAATGTTGATGGCGCTGATGTTGCTGATGATGATGAGGGTGTCGCGATGATGATGATGTTGATGATCCTGATGATGTTGATGATGGCGAGATAATGAGGCGATGATGATGAAGATGAGGATAATGACGATAATGATGATGATGATGTTGGTGTCCCGATGATGGTGGTGATGAGATTGATGATGATGCTGCTGATGATGATGCTGGTGATGATGATGATGGTGTCCCGATGATGAAGACGATGATGGTGTCCCTATGATGATGATGTTGATGATGAGGGTGATGATGAGGTGATGATGATTTCGATGATGGTGGCCCGATGATGATGTTGATGTTGATGATGATGGTGTCCCGATGATGATGATGATGATGATGATGATGATGATGATGATGGTGATGATGATGATGATGGTGTCCCGATGATGATGATGATGGTGATGATGATGGTGATGTTGAGGGTGATGATGTTGCTGATGATGATGGTGTCCCGATGATGATGATGATGATGATGATGATGATGATGATGATGATGATGATGATGATGATGATGATGATGATGATGATGATGATGTTGTTCATGATGGTGATATGATGATGATGGTGGTGGTGGTGGTGATGAGGTGATGATGATGATGGTGTCCCTATGATGATGATGATGCTGATGATGATGATGATGATGATGATGATGATGATGATGATGCTGATGATGATGATGATGATGATGATGATGATGATGATGATGATGATGATGATGATGATGTTGATGACGTTGATGACGATGATGTTGATGATGATGACGTTGATAGTGATATCGATTGTGATTTCGATAGTGAGATCGATTGCGAGACCGAATGTCAGATCGATTGTGAGATCTATAGTGAGATCGATTGTGAGATCGATAGTCAGATCGATTGTGAGATCGATCGAATGAAATAGATCGAGTGAGATCGATTGTGAGAACGATCGAGTGAGATCGAGCGAACGAGACCGATAGTGAGATCGATAGTGAGCTCGATAGTGAGACCGATCGAGTGAGACGCTGGTTCCTCCCCCCCCGAACCTCCTTATCACCCGAAGGGCGGTCGTATAGGTGTATATATGTGGCGTTCATTAAGGAACGTGCCCAGGAGGCTTCAGACCCTGGAGTGTTCCTTATCTGATGAGGGCGGCGGTGATATCCACGGCCAAGCGTCGATTGGAGTGCCACGGGCCTCTAGACCCTGGGTTCCTTATCAAAGGGTTCTTTATCCAATGTCTTCACCGCAGCGGGCGGCGGCTGCGCGCGGGGACAGCGGGCCCCAGGACGTCGAGCCCTAGTATATATATATATATAGCCCGCACGCTTGCAAGCAACACTCATCATCATATTAACTTCATCAGTTAACGCTGTCTCTTCTCACAGCAACCTCTGTTCTTCCCTCTCACGGCATGCCTCTCACTCGTTCGATCGCCAGGCTACGCCTCCAGAGCTCCTGGCTTGAACTTCCCGTTCTTGGCCAGCTCCTTCACGCGTGCCTCCCAGCGCTCTCGAGCCACACGCCTCGATGTTTTCACCATCTCGGCCCTGAACTCGATACTCCAGGTGCCGCGCTGCAGCACCTCCCGCAGATGGTCTGCGGGCATCTCCTTGGTCAACATGTCACTCAGCATGTTGCTTCCTTATGTCCACCTTACCATGGTCTGAGGCCTGTCCAGAATCTCACGGACACTCGCCAACTCCAAGTTCACCGACTTTTGATCTGAA